TAGTGTATTACGGTAGTAATCTTTACTCATTACCATTGATGGCAACGTTGCCCTGCACGACTGCTCTAAAAGTTGCTCTGTGTATCATCAGCTTGACTGTTTAAAGAAGTGTTTCTCAACGTGGGGTCCTGGGAACCCCAGGGCTCCTTGAGAGGGTTCCAGGGGGTCCCCAGCAAAAAGGGGAATCGTTTATTTTCACTTTTTCACTCAATTCCATCCACTAGTAACACAATGACAGAATGTATGACTATTTTGGTCATGAGTTTCATATATTTTCTGTAATAAAACATCTAAAACTCAATATCCTATCAGATGGTCGATCCTGGGACAAAATCTTATCAAATTAGGGTCTGTGGTCGAATTTATATCAGTTAAGGGGTCCTTGACGTGAAAAGGTTTGAGAACCACTGGTTTAAAGGCAGTAAGCCAGAAGTCACATCTGATATTCTGGACCAAAACCCCAACCTTGGATCGTAACACATTTAAATGACGATGCCATGAAGGCAAATCACTAATGTGAAGAACAAAAGCACCTTAAATTAGAGAGGCAACTGAAAATGCTACGCTCTGGAAGCAAGATGTCTGTGAGTGACAGCAGGGATCATGGCGTCACTGCCTGAGAGATATACCTGCAGATGCCTGCATGACTGAAGATCACTGCGACGTGCCTGGCATGTGTGCACCGCTGCCTGAGGGCTGCTCTTTTGTTCTATAAATATAAAACACCGGGGTGGAAAAACACTGCCTTTCACGACAAACTCTGCTCTGTTGTTGCAAAGCCTGTGGAAAATGTATGGAAAACCCACTTAAGTTAAGTACTAGAACCTGACCCACAGGGTAGAAATTAAGTTTTACATAGCTTTATGAGAACTGTTCATCTGACGATTTTAAAATGCCACAAATGAAGACAATACAGCAATAGATCTGCATATTAAAAACCCATCCATGTTGCCCCAGCCCTCCCCTTGCCCTCTGGTGTAGTTTATTTATTATTTATTTATTATTTATTTTATTATTTAAAAATAATAAACCAATTGGTGCTAGTTTCCAATGGTGTGCTGTGTGTGGTGTCTGATTGCTGTATGCTTTTTTCAGTTATATATGTTGCGTGTGTATGTTTGTGTATGTGTATGACCCTTTTATAAGATTGGCATTTTTATATTTGTGCTTGATACTGACTAACTAGGTCTGAGAATCCATTTGTTTTATAACCAGAGCAAAGTTATGGATGCCTTTAGGGGACTATATTAAAATGATAAATGTAAACTTGAAAATGAAATTGGAATTCCACAATAGCATAATTTTACACTTATGTACAGGTGCATCTCAAAAAAAATGTATTTATTTTCTAATATTCTGAGATGGATTTTTGATTTCAGTGAGCCGTAAGCCGTAAATTAACACTTTACACTTTATAATGAATCTAGAATATATGAAAGTTTCCCTTTTTTACTTTTCACAATATTATAATTTTATTAGATGTATGTGTTATTTGAGTAAAACGTAAAATGAAAATTCAATAATCCAATTTGCATTTTCATTTTCACATACTATGACCACATTAAAATGAAAATAGAAAAGCTGTTTAACATTTAATTTTCAAAGTTGTACTCTGTTGTACAGTGGACAATTTTAAATGAAAATGCAAAATAAACAATCTAACCTGATTTTCCATTTAAGTGAAAATAAAAATGCAATTTTCTAACAATTCGAAAATCGAAACGGCATTAGACATTTTATCTTCAAAGGCATAACCTGCTGTTAAATCAAATTTGAAAACTGGTCTGCATTATAAACAATGCAGCCTGATATTCCATTTGTGCAAGCAATTTTTAAGTCACAATTAAAGGAGCTATATGGAGTTTTTTAATTAAATTAATGTCTTTTTATTGCCTATTTCTGAACGGGTTGTAACCTCACATAAAAATGCATCATTTTGTGCTTTCTCGGTTGCCTGTAACAGCCTCCATGCTGCTTCTATAGGGATGGACCCGAATGTTCTGAATATTCAAATTTGTTGGGTAGACATTTGATTTTCAATTTTGGGGATCGAATCTTGAGGGTATTTTTTCACACGCCTGACCTCCACTCCCAGCAGTGAACGTAACGCTCCAGTACACATCAAAGGGAAAACAAAATGAAGCCAGTGTGGGAACACTTTAAACTGAGTGATACAGTTATGGCTTTTATTAATTTTACAATTGCTTTATTTCATTACAGATCAAAACAGTCAAATAGCCTACATTTTAAATGTAATTATTAAACTGTAGGCTACAACAAACAAATAATTATATTAGGCCGATTGTAGAAGAACAACATTTAGTAGGCTATAATAAAAGTTAAAAGCGAATTTTGCATATGTGCTGTTTTAGTTCTGCTACAGGAAATAGCGCTCATTTCCATCTGCTGTCTCTGAACCCCCGCCCAGCTAAACTTTTCCTGGATTCTGCTCTGGACGTGCTAAGCTCAGCCTCTTACACTCTGGACTCTCAGCTACAGTTCCCCCTGTTCTGTACAACAGCCACCAACCCGGTTTTGCAGAATCTAGTCTTCCAGTCTACCTCGCTCTTCCCCGGCTCAGTATCCCATCCCTTCAACCCCGCAATAAATAGTCCTCTTATATCTAACTCCTCCTTCTTAGTCCTGCACTCTCTCTTTTTTCTCTCTCTCTCTCACGCACACACACAGACTTACGCACTTCATGTGTGCTCTTGCGTACTGATTCTGAACTGTACACACTACGACAACACTGCAGCTAACGAAATCGAGTCCGCAACATACAATGCTTTTATCCAAAGCGACATACATTTGCTATGTCAGAGGTCCAGTGGGAATTGAACCCGGGTCTTTCACACCAAAGACATGTGTCTGTTCCACTGCACAATATAGATTTGTGATATAGATAACACAATATAGATAACATTTGCTTGCTGGCTAATACCAGTTGCTAACCTTATCCTTGCTACATTACTTCACCAGCTAACGAGACCCATATTTCCTTCCTGTCCTCATTTATTATATGCAGTCTGGCTCACAGTTTTCGTAATCATCCGATACATTTAGCTGTGCTCACATTGCTGAGCCTCTCCGGTGAAAGATACACAAAAGTTAGTGAAAAGGTGGTAGGCTAGCTGACGCTGATGTATCATGTCAGCTAAATGTAACGTTATCATGCAACGAGCATGGATTAGCTCAATGTCAAGCTGATAAAAATATTACTGTAACAATGGATTTACCAGCATGTTGTGTGAAGCTGTCTCACGTTATGTTGGTTCTGTTTGGGCTCACTTATTAGTTGGAGCATGCACACAAGCACACACCTGGAAAGGTAGTGGTTGCAATCTGAAACCTCACTGCTAAAGGCCATTGAAAACTGCAAATGGCCCCTTTAAAAGGTTATAAAAATAACTTTTTGTCATATTTGCTGAAACTGTAACTATATCCTGACAGTAGTACATGCAACAGATAATCTGTAAAACAAATCAGGTTCCTCTGGCTCCTCCTACTGTTCCTAATGCCATTTGCAACAATCCACTGCACCCAATTCAAAACAACTAATTACGTTACTAAGTCTGTAACGCAGTGTCAATCACTGCTCGTGCACATGCTGTGCAGGCCCTTTCCTTGTGCATATGCTCACTCAATATCTTTAAAAGTTTTGCAAACACAATGTCTGAGAAAGCAGCAACAATGAAAGAACTGCCCATGCTCCTAAGATGCTGCTTCCAATTTAAGGAATTGCTCCACTCTGCTGCATCACCTGCAAGCTAATACCACCGTTAAGACCAGAACGAACTTTACAACTTAGTCATGATCTGGCAGATGCTATGCACACATTGCCATCACAACCAAGCGCACTGAGAGCGAGAGTAGTGGAGACAACTGACTCAAGCCAAAGTTGCAAAGACTTGAGGTCTTTTGAGCTCCACACAAGAAACACATTAGCTAACCAAAATTCCATCATACTACAATAATAATTATTACCTGTCTTTATAATGATAATGACAGATATAGCCCATTTATTGAGATTTAATTTTCTTGATCACAATAACATTTAATATACAGAACTTGCATTTCTAAGGGCGTGGAGAGAAAAGATGAGCAGAGACGCAAATGAATGATTTTTACCTCCTTGCTCCCACTTGCTCCCCCTTTAACATTAGCTGCTGCTGGCTTGTCCTTCAACCTCCACTGCATCAATCTCTCTTCGTTCACCTTGTTTATCAACCACACAATTACTGGGCTTTCTAAAGAAGGTTTGGATGCTCAGATGTTGTGACATTTTGCTAATATTTGTGAATTTATCTAGCTATGTAGACATATACCATACCAATGCAATGGCTAAGTTCAAAGATAAGACTACTAGACAACAGCTAATTAATATGTACACTCACCACCAGCTGGAGAAGGGGTCTACTACAGTTGGTCTACATGTGGTTCATAGTGTTTATGTATGTACTGTAGACCCTTTGTCTCTAATCTGTAAAAATGAATGTCAACCTTCAGTCAGTGACGGAGAATATTTGGTTCACATGACCCCTGTAAAGGGCTCCTTCATGCTCTTATGCTTGTTTGCTGCCTAATGTTCTTGAGAACATCTAGTGTAGTAGAGCATGCCTCTCTGGAGGTTTGTCTGAGCCAAACAATGTATGCCTTTGTTGACAGATTATATACCAGAACTGACTGAAACACTCAAAATTCACTAACTGAACAAATTCAAACTTAACATTGGAGTTTGTTTTTTTTCCCCCAAACTCGTAACCTTTTTGCTACATCCACCTACCTGCTACAACACTGACTCTGACTGATGATTGCATAGCAACTGGCCAAAGAGTCTTGTGATTGACCAAAAATTCACCATCCTCTTCACAAGATATTGTTAAATACTTCACATATATCATGAATGGAGAAGGGTTGCTTTAAAAATAAAAAGATGCTTTAAAATGTATGAAAGGTGCTGTACATGCACATGTCCATATAATTACATAAAGGTCACTCACAGACTCGTGGTCCACCAGGTCAGCTAGAACAAAGCAGCGATACTGCTGCTGGCCAGGGAGGGGTTTGTTGTAGTATCCATTGTATTTCTTCTCATCACCCAGAGTAAAGATCTCAGGCAGAGCATCCATCTTGGCAGCGATGTAGGGCTGCATGAAATCCTGGCTCTGTCTCTTCTTTCTCTGCAGACTGCTGTCAGCACCAGCCTCCAGGAGCTGCCAGAGAGTGACGACACAACAGGAGACTTTGAAATGGCCATGTCATGAGGTGGTGCAACAATGTAACATAACACAAAATGATATAATGTCATTGATCACCGTAACAGAGGGTTTTCCCGTGCCTTGAGGCTTCTTAATTAAACATCTGTCACGCTCTGCCGGTTGGCCATCCTTTGTGTTGCACTTTTGTGTTTAGTTAGTGTTATTTTGGTCTGTTGGGTTTTGGGGGTCTGTCTTGTCTTTCGTCTAGTGTTCGGTAACCCTTGTCATGTCTGTTACCCCAGTGATCCCTCTGCATGTCTGTCTCTGTTTTCCCCTGCTCTCTCTCTCTCTCTCTCCCTACCTGTGCCTCATTAGCCTCATGTCTTTCACCTGTGTTGCTCCCGCCCTGCTCGTTAGTCCCTGTGTGTATATATACCTGGTGTTTCTGTCTTGTCTTTGTCCGGTCATTGTTCATGTTACCCCTCAGTCTGTCGCGTGTATACTCTCTGCCTTCCTGTAACCAGCCTTGCTTGTCTTGTCACCCTGTACCTCTGGAATTTGGATTTCTGTTAGGAACTACCTTTGTTTTGGACTCTATCAGCCACTCAGTCAGTAAGTGTGCTCGCCTTCTGTTTGTTCTAATAAATCACCTCGGTTCACCGCACCTCCTCTGCCTTGCGTCCTGCATTTGGGTCCTCCAACCTGCCTCCACACCACGATTGTGACAACATCTCTCAGTAGTCAGCTCCAGTGTTGGACAAGTTACTCAGAAATTGTAATAAGTTCCTAGTTACTTATTATTCCTTAAAAATGTAATATAACTTACTTATTCCTGGGTGATAAAAGTAACTAGTTACGTTACTCGTTACACACGCACACACACACAAACAAAGCAGTCTCCCCCTTTTTAACTAATATCATATTCATAATAGCAGCAAGGAGTATGGTTTTACAAAAAATATAACATAAAAAAAATAAAGCAAGTAAATCCCGAACTACTGTTTGTCTGCACATGCATTTATAAGAGCAGTATTCAGTATTTTTACATAACATACAATGTTGCAACGCCACTCTCTACCGACGAGTCCAAACATCACTGGAAGTTGCAGCCGGAGTTTCTTTCTATAACTTTCATGTTGCTGTGCTGCTTTAGCAGATGCTTCAATAAATTAGATGTAGAATTGTTCGCAATGATAAGTTTGTTTGCTGGTCGCACAAAGTTTAGTTTCATTCATTTAAACTGCACTAATACCTAAATGGTAGCATACCGTTCACGGCTTTAACCTGCTCGCGATTTCGGTCTCGGTTTCAGAACTGTTACAGCCATTGTATTATTGCCATTTATAGGTGGACAAACCCTTTCTGAGGCAGACTTCAAACATTATATTTTCAGACCCCCTAACAGGAAGGCTGTAAGAATAAGTATGTTGTTTGTCCCATCCAGCCTTCTCACATTGTTGTGTTTAATGAATATTGCAACCTCAGGGCTGCTAGAGGGGCTTTAAACTTTTAGTCTCGTTGGCTGTGAGGATACAGAAAGGAGCAAGTCAGTTTAAACAAAGCTTTAGCAAATAACATGGAATAAGATCACGCAGTGCACTAAGCAGCCAAAGAATGCTAAAACAAGTAGCAGTGTGTTCTGTAATTTACAAATAAGCAAGACACTCAGACAAAGATGGGTCGACCCAAAAGACAGAGAGCTTAAACACAAGAAAAGCAATCTAGTCTATGCTGTCTAATGCAGTGAGGAATCCACAGACCTGTATATCAGGGAAAGTAAACAACCTCTACACAAACTCATGGCTCAACACAGGGGCCAACACCTCAGGTCAAGACTCAGCAGTTTACCTGCATTTGAAGGACATGGGACAAACTTTCAAGGACAACAATGTTCATATTTTGAACAGGAAGGAGAGATGGTTCTACACAAAAGTGGAAATACAATCTCTCAATGGGGAAGGAGGTTTCATCCCTTCCCAGAAGTTTGAACAAGCACTCACATTTGGCCTCACGTGATAAGCCAAGTATCTTCAATCAAGTCCAGCAGCCATCCTGAGCGAAATGTGATGGATGCCTGAAGAATCTCCACAGATGTCTTTTAAGAAAGGAAATGCATTCGACACTCCCATAAGGCCTCAAGGCTACACACAAGGGGAACCATGCAAGAATATTCTAAATATTCTATTCTTGCATGAGGTTCCAGTGTGTTTTGATGATCAACACTAAATTTAAACCTGTGTTTGGTTAGAAGGAACCTTATGGCACAACCACTACATGCCTAACCCCAACCCCCCTTCACCCAAAACCCAATCTTAACCTAAAAATGGAATGGTTTACTTTTTGGGAGCAGCATTTAGAGAATAACCTCCCCAAATGGTGAGTTCCTAAAAACTGACTGTGAGAACAGATTTTGTCCCTTTTGCGAATACAAGTAAGTGTCCACTCACCTCATACACATCCATGTCTTCAGGATTCTCCCATCTTCTCAGAGAAGCCGGAGTGACAGGGACAACCACTATGTAGAACCACCTGTATTAAACACAGAAACACAACTGCATTACACATAGATGCTTTGTAGACATACACAGAAACACAAATAGCTTTAATGTGAATTACATGCTGTTTGATTTCAGTCATCTAGAATCAGAATCAGAAGGAGCTTTATTGCCATGTAGTGTTTTACACATACAAGGAATTAGCTTTGGTCAATTCTATTGCAAATGTTTGACAAAGTATATTGAAGGACTTTTCTGTTTACTCTGCAGTTTTTACATTCACATCTCCTCTTCCCTTCTCATAAACACAGATGGAATACGTTTGACATTGGGAATGATGAAACGGTCTGGGCAAGGCATTCATACATAGAGATGGTATTAGTTTTTTTTCTTCCATCAACCCCACTTCTCTTATTAAAGCTTACTTGTGGGTGATTGAAAAACAAACACTTCTAACAACACAATTATGTCCAAGTAATTTATTGTGCCTGACCATTTGACCAAGCTAGGTAATAAAACATAACCTACAGATTTGAAGCCTTTGCATTGGGATTCTCTTTGCTGATCAACGGTGGTTTTGAAGCTCACCTCTTCAATAAATTGCTTTCTGGTATCAAGAGAGCTCAGGAGCGGTAGTGATAGGTTGTAATCATGGCATTGTTTGCATGTTTGGTTAGCTTTTAAAACTACTCTGACCAAAACTCTGACTCAGTGTCTGCTGAATGTGTAAACTGACAACTACTTTATAATGTTTCTAATGTAAACTTTTTAAGGTACTATGTCAGTGTATTGTTTAGAATTGTTTTGCTGCCCCTAAGTGGCCAAAAAACATTAATGGGAGTGGGTCACTGGGACTAAAGTATCAGGATTGTTGCAACACTGACCTTTTTTCTTGTAACACAGAAGTCAGTTACCGGCGTGCTCTGCTGCTAACGCTAGCTGCCATTAACTAGTTAGTTAAGTTAGCGCCCCTTTTAGTTGACTCTACTCAGACTTGGGTATGACAGCAGGATCAGGCATGGACAAAAGAGGCTGCAAGTGGGAGAGGAGTTTGTTAAGTTTAAAGTGTTTGCCGTGTTTGGAACGAGACTGGTTACACTGTATTGAAATAAATAAATAAAATGTTCAGTCTCCTTGGTGGTTGTTCCGACACATTCAGAATCATTACGCTTGTCGTTAACAGGCAGCTTGCTGCGTGCATGCATTTGTAAAATGTATATTTTTAAGGCTAATTATTACAGTTTTGTATTTCTCTGTAAAGCAGCACAGTGTTAACAATGTTACTTTCTCAGTCCTGGAGCTCAAACCATTTTCTGATGCCCAAAAAATACTGAATCATGGTTTTTAAAATCATGCCACTTGAAATGACCTACCCCCTTCAAAGAGGGGTTATCAAACCACACAAATGCAGATAGACGATTTTGAGAGAGTACAACATTAAGAATTCATTAGTGGTTAGATTTCATAGTTAAGTATTCAAATCATTATAGCTATTATATGCTACTACATACACCAGCGTTAGGTCAGAGGTACAATATGGAAGAAATGAAACTGCTCTCCACCTGCTGAATTCATACTCCAAAAAAATAGTGGGCAGCATATCTTCAGCATCACACCACAAAGCTCATGCATTTAAGTTTTTACCATTTTACAAATATATCAAAAATACCATCAATGTTAACTTTTTAAAGGACACTGGGATTATTTTACATGCCTTCATCTCATGGAGATGAAGGCATGTAAAATGCCTGGATTACTGCAACAGCCTTTTTACTTGCTTGACCCAAAAATCTATTGATCAGCTTCAGACTGTCCAGAATACAGCTGCTAGGCTTTTGACCAGAAAAAAGAAATATAATCACATCACCCCTGTTTTAGCTTTGTTACACTGGCTCCAAGTATGTTTTGGAATAGACTTAACTTTTGTTGAGTACTTTTAAATTTCTTCATGGCTTCTCTCCCTATCTCTGACCTGTTAGTCCCATACGCACCAGCACGCACCTTGAGATCCTCGGGCAAAGGTCTATTGTCTGTTCCTGAGTCTCGACTGAAAACTAAAGGGGACAGTTTGCAGTCAGGGCCCCAAGACTCCTGCCCAAGGAAATCAGGGTGGCTGAGTCAGTGAAAACTTTTAAATCGCTTCTTAAAATATACTGTAATAGGAGAGCCTTTCCTGATTTTAGTTAATTATTTAATTTTTATTTTTATTTTTTAAATGTGTTTTATTGTCTTTGCTCTTGTGAATCTACTTGGATTTGAAAGTAAATAAATAAAAATTATTATCATCATCATCATGATGTCGTAAATGCTAACTGCTGTTAACTAGTTAGCTTGGCTGACTGAGTCCGGAACGGGTGAGCAGCCAATAGCAGCAGCCTCTCAGTGAAGGCGGCAGGACGGGGACTGAACACAGCCTTCGAGATCAACAGCTGTTGTGGTTGAATGAAGTGCTGTACGATGAGTTAAAAAGGAAACCACAAGAGGTGGGATTGCCCCAGGTAGAGAAGCAAGAGAGCCAGCATAAGAGCTAAACTAACTCAGCTTGGACCTAAGACAGCGAGTGAGTGAGAGAGATGGGTCGTCAACCCACTTTGATTATGCAATCAGATGGTCTTTTGCTAGTGATAACGTTAGCTAGCAAGCAAGCTAAGCTAGATGCAACCCATTCATGCTGCATGGATCTGGGGCCGGCTGCCTCGCAACACCAGCTGACAAAACAAGCTAACGTTAGGTAACATTAGCAACAATATCACTATATATTTCACATGCTTTGCATTAAATGTTAGCATTGACTTTGGACTTTGTTGGACTGGATTTCTAACTGGATAGCTAAACGTTCGCTAGTGTTGGAACCTGTGGCGCTGTAGAGGAACTGTAAACGTCACATACTGTGGATTTTCCAAAACATCCTGTCCTTCACATAGATTTCAGTCCACATGCTGTTACAGGCAACTGAGAAAGTCGGGGAAGCTCTCATTTTTTAAGACATTGGTAATGGAAAGCTAACAGTACATATAAATATCTTCACATTCTTAACATTACACATGATACATTTAAAATTAAACTGATATGTGCAGAGGAGAAAATACATTTCAGAGCCATCTAGTGAAATCATTAATCATCCCTATTTCTTCAGCTTGGTTTTCCTTCAAATAAACAAACAAACAAACAAACAACACAGACCTGATGGAGGCTCCAGCAGGGACCCTGGGCAGACTGATGGTCACTTTACCACCCTCCTCCACATCGTGTTGTAATCGAGCTGGTTTCATCTTCAGAAGGTCTGGAGCTGTTCGGATGGAAACCTGCTGCTGGAGGCCCCCGGCACTGTTCCCCCGGCTCATCAGCACGAAGGAATAATCAGTATCTGGCTGCAGCTGTGTGATCAACTTCCTCTTCAGGTTGCCTTGAACCTCCACACTCTGCTGGTTGTACAGGATCTGAAGCCAAGATGAAGTTTCAGTGTTACTAACACTGATAAAGTTTGATTTATTGAACTGATACTAAGAAAACAAAGTCATTGAAATTTTTCGTTACAATGTTGAAAACAATGTGTAGAACTGTTAAAGGTTCAGCGTGTAATATTTTCAGTGGTGTATAAAGACCTTGCATAATGAACCATTATGTTTTTATTACATTAGAATGAGATATTTTTATCTACATAACCGCGGGCACCCCCTTCTATGGAGGTTGCCGTATTTTGTCGTCATGTTTCTACAATAGCCGACAACGGACAAACAGCTTTGTCAGTTATGTTCGTGAGACAATCAGCTGATCGCTAATAGGCAATCAAACGTAGCTTCCAGCATCTAAGCTCAGATCAGCCAGCTAAAATTTTACTGCCCTGGTAGAAAAAAATATATAGTTGGATTGTAACTTAATGTAGTTATTCTACAGCGCTCTGTTATGGCTTTGCAACGTGGACAGAAATGTGCCCTTACCTTCTGGAGACAAACTACTGATGATTATTGAATATCATTGGCAATAAAACGGTAACAGCATGGAAGCTCAGATCAGCAGCTAAACTTGTGTTGATTACTGCCCTGGTGGAAAACGTGTTTATTTTGACTGCTAATAGTGACGCATAACATGACTGTGTGTCTGTCAATTGACCAATAATGAATACTTTCCGAATTTGCATAATTTTTTTTTATAGTGCTTCGCCACTGTGCACACAAATGTAAAATTTGTACTTTCACATGCTAAATCCCCATCAAAAACATTGCACCATTTTACCACAAGCTGACATTATGGCTGTCAGTACTACTTTGTGTTTCTGTTATATGTAAAAAAAAATGGTATTGAAGTGTTCTGGTTTCCATTTGTAGTCAGTTTGTAGTCCAGGTAGGACTGTCTAATCACCTTTTAATGGGCTTTGGATGCAAGCAGGTAACCAACCCGTGTCGAGAGTAAATCGTGTGGAATGTATTGGCCGACATGCATTTCCGAAGCCCATGAACTACTGTTTCGCAAGGATTAAGATTTTTAGCAGTCTTTTTAGCAATCTCGGAACCTTGGAAACTTTGGAACCTTGCTGCCTCCTGTGTTCTCTACTTTTGATTTTGGGAAGCACACTGAACCACTCTGTTACAAGGTGTTATATAAATAAAGCATAATATTTTTGCTTACAATTATTTAGTTGCTGATCTATGGTCATAAACTTTTGTTTTTGCACTTTAGCTTATAATCGGAGCTACACAGTGCCCAAGGCTGAATGATAACACAGACAGACCCCTTAACAAATTACTTTTTTATTTTTTAAATATTTTAATGATAACACTTCCTGTTTGCATATACAGTACTTACAATACAATTCAGTTTATACATACCATATCACTACAGCCCATGGATATGTTTTATGAATTTAAATTCAATGCTATTTCAGGTCACATAAGTCAGTCTATAGCTGTCCACATTATTGTCTAGGAAGCAGTTCGAGAAATGAGAAAATCACTCCCTAGTTTTTATTCTTTGGTGCCTAACCATATTTATTGATATTCACAAATAGTGACTACATGGTCATACATTATCAGTAAGACACCTCTTTTAGTTGATAAATTCAGTGTCTGATCTTACCTTGAGAGGTACTTGAGATTTGTAGGTTTCTGGAACTTCCCAGGTCAGCAGGACAGAAGTTTTCATCACAGCCTTCACACCAAAGTTCTTGGTGAAAACTGAAGGAAGGTCTAGATGATTATTAGGTAGTTAATTGCAGATATAACTGAGATGATTCAAAGTTGAACAGTTGGTGCAGAAAATAAAGAACTGTTGTTGTCCTGTTGTTCTGCCTTTAGTGTCTGAATCTTTTGCCTAGGAAAGTAAAAAGCTATTGCACTGACCCGAATCTGTGAAACTCTACCCAAGCTTGGATTAAAAACATCCAATTAGTTACACAAACCAAAAAAAAAGAACCAGAATTTAAATTAGCTCGTTATAACATGTAAATGAAATTTGAGATATACTGTACAGTGCCAATACCATTCCAAGGTTCTTCAGTTCTTACAAATGTAGTTGCAGTGGGTGTTTTTCACTCTATGACCATGAAAACTTACTAGGTGAAATGTAAGTTTAATATAAAGTGTTTTGAAACAGTATGTTTTGATTTTACAATTGAAAAGACTTCAAGGATGACTTCTGGATAACTTCCCCACCTCTTATGTGGAATCTTGGAAGATTAGCCAGTAAGCTAAAAAACATCAAATCAACCAGATAAAGCACATTTTACCTATACTTTTCTTTAGGAAGCATCTGAGACTGTCTCCCAGGCAGTGGCATAGCACATATCTAACATAGGAAGAGTGCAGCCATGAGTTTAGTTACAGTCAGTGGAAATATTGAATTTAAAAGCTGTAGATCACAAAACTACCAATAAAGATGCAACCTAGGGCTGGACAATAAAACAATAACAATAATTATCCCAATATAATTTTTTTCAATAACAATATAACAAATGTTCAATAAATATTCAATAAATGTTTGATTTTATTCACTTGAATCATACACGAATTAGGACTTAATTTTTCTGATAAAGATTGTTAGATAGATTTATTCAGTTGAGGAAAAAGGACTGAAAAAGGTTATACTTAATTTTACTTAAAGATATTTGTTAACAAAGATTTTATCATAAATATTTTGAATGTTCTATCTCAGATTTGTGATCCTGATCCACTGTTTGGCATCAAGTGTTGACCATAAAGAAAAGTTTAAAACACAATTAACCATCAGGTTTCTTCAACTTTTACTCAGGAGCAAAAATCAGCCTTTAAACTTGAAAGAAAAACTATTTGATACTTATCGGGATAATTATCGATATCAAAAGATATGAAACTTTTTATCATGATAACATTTTTGGCCATATCGTCCAGCCCTAATGCAACCTGCTGCTGGATGAAAGTTTTTGTTTGTTTTTAAAGATTTGTAAGGTTTGCATTGGAAAGCGCTCTATTTTCCTACCAGCACAAAGCCAGTGGTAGAGCAAACACAGATTTTATGCAATTTTCCTCAGGCACTAGTCTATTTTTCCGTTTGGAGCTTTTGGTTTGTATTTAAACCTGCTCAGACCACCTCTCACCACAGAAGAGCATGCGCACAGAACTCTCCAAAACCACAGAATACCTTTCATGAATCTACTGCAAACACCAATTGTGTGTTCTTCTGCTCAGAACCAACTTGATGGCAGAGAATCATATATATCAACTGCCTGTTCATTGTACCATTAACAGCATATTTGTGGCATGTAATCTAATATTTGGGATGTTGTGTAGTTTTACTTTGAAACGTCAGGTGTTACTTGGAGATGGACTTTTTTCTCTCTTGGACAACTCAGTCTTTCTCCCGCATGTCACCTGTTGCTGCTTTTAAAGGTAGGACTAGAGGAGCTCATTGTTCACTACTGAAGCTTGTCTTCCTCCTATGGCTAATTCTGTATTCCCATTACCAATAATATATTCAGCCCATTTTCCTATGCCTATGGACACCAGAATCACAAAATATGATGGTCACGCTGATGTGCATCTGAGCCTGAAGATTTTGTGTTTGTGCCTTATTTTAGGATAATTAGAAGAAGAAGATACTTTATTGTCACATACACATACATGTTGCAAAATTGCAATGCAGTACGGATAAATAGCCTGTGGTGCTCACCTGGCATGGAGGTGGACATGGTTCTACTCTGAATGCTGGGGCTGATGGGTCCTCCCCCTTTGCTGGTGAAAGCTTGGACCCTGATGTCGTAGGTAGTGTCAGGTTGCAAACCTTGGATGGTCATGTGTGTTTCTGTGGTACTGTTGGTGTTGTTGTGCTGGTTATTGATATCTCGAAACACCACCACATACTTGACAATCTTCCCGTTCCTCTCGGCCAGAGGAGGGGGGTCCCAGGCCAGCTTGGTGGAGGTGGCGGTCAGGCCTTCCACACTCAGATTCTGGGGGTAGCTGCTGGGAATGTCTTCTGGAGTGCTTATCTCTTTCACATACTCTTCTCCGTTGCCTGCTCGGTTTTTGGCGCACAGTTTGAAGATGTAGGTGGCGCCCTTGTGGAGACCGGTGACTGTGAAATGATCATCTGTCTGTCTGAAGTCTTTGATAATGAAAGCTTCCTCCTCTGCTCTCTTGTACTGCAGCTGGTATCCTACATGCTCCCCCACCATCTCTTTAGGGGGCTGCCACTGAATCAGGGCAGTATTCCCTATGGTGGTGCTGATCATCATAGTGGGCTTACCAGGCACTGGAAGACAGGAAACATTTTACAACATTCCCATGTCTTGATTACTTGTAAACAGACCAAATTCATGAAACACTAAAGAATTAAACTCAAACACATTGATGTCCTTTTCAACATGTCCTCATACCTAAACAACTGAATAGGTCTATTGCCAATGACTCCCAAAACAACACATATGACCATTTCCCAAAGAGTTAGGGTTAGGGGTTTATTTACTACTGGCAGTAGAGGATGCTGACTTACAATAAATGTAATTGTAGGCCGTAATAAACTGTTTGCTCAGATGACATATATGACAGTTTTTCTGGTGAGGCCAGATCTATTTTTAGCTATGTTGCTACATTCAGAGATCTCAACAATTAGTAGAGTACAATGCTATCATTATCAATAGAACCAATGGCTGGAATACTGAAAATTAAAAAAAACATAGTTTTCCTTTAACCATAACAATAAACATCTAACCATGATGACAAATGTTCCCTTACCTTAACAAAGCTGTTGGTTTTTAACTCAAAGCATGGTATTTTCCTAACCCTTAGAAAGTAGTTTTTTGCCTAAACCTAACCAAACCTTAACCAATGTACTGACAAACAATGTTGGACTGGCAATAGGGGCATCAGAGGGTAGTGGAATTGTTGGTAAAGTTGCTCATAATGCTATTTCTATTTAAAGTTTGCTAACATTACCAGAACAAGAAAGGCTGGAGCAACACAACCCCTGAAAGGTATTAAGCAAGGTTGTGTTTTGCTTGTGAATTCACCTGTTATTTGAAGAGGCAGCTGACTACTGAACATGTGATTTAACTGTTGTCAAAAATGTCAAGGTAGACTTTACACAATGAGGAAAAATGGTAAAAAAAACCCCATTTATTTAAAAAAATGTGTTGCCTAGCAGGTTGACGCAACACATAAATCTATACGCAGCACGCACCTGCTCCTGAGGTTGTGACCACCTTGGCTTTGCTGCGAGCCCCATCGCCCTTGGTGGTATAAGCAGCAACAGTCACAGAGTAGGTGGTCTCTGGGAGCAGACCAGTTATAATGGCCTCCTGTGTGGTAGAGAGAGAGAAGAAGAGAGGACGGGGGAGGGAGGGAAAGAGAGAGAGAGAAAAAAGATAGAGCCAGAGTGAAATGGAAACAGAGTGGAAGAGAAAGAAAAAGACAGAGAGAAAAGGGCAACATTCAGGTTGAGACAACAGCCTCAGTTGAACTGCCATTCTGTCAGCCAGTTTCCTGTACCAGATACTTTAAACAAGTCATGAATGGAAGTGGAGTACATTTAGATGAAGTTCACGATTCCTGGTTGTTGTACTGTTAGATGGTGTATAAGCTCTCTGGAACATTGACCGTGAATGGAAAAAGAGCATATTACAATGGTTACATATCAGCCCCTGAAAATAAATATGAAACAGGTGTTCTTTATAGATGATCCTGACCAATTATTGGCTAAAAAGGTACTATTTATAGAATAATATAATCAGTGCCTACTCAAAACTTTGGTTATTTACAACTTTGAAGTTGAGCGCATCCAACATGTTACAACATACAAATAATCCCTCATTGTACAGCAAAACTGTGTGTGCACAACTACGGCAAGTAGAATAGATCAAAGGTGAAGCAGTCTGATTGCTTGTGTTTGTTGGCTTGTCAGACTTCTTTTTCAGGTTCCCAGATGTCACGTGGTAGGTACAATATTATTTCAGCCAACTCATCTGAAAAGGATTATTTTGCAAATGTAAAGAGTTGATATATATTTGGCTTTTAGGCTCTGATGTAATCACTCCCTTCAAAGGTAGGCAGGGTTCAGCACAACAGGGATTGGAACTTCTGCATTGATGGCTTAAAGCTAGAGTGTGGGACTTTTACATATTAGTGAACATCCGTTACATTCAAGCCCTTACCGAATGAGTTCACACAATGCTAATTAAGCCTATCGCCATCAGAAAATTGCTCTGTACTCGCATACCAGAGTTTTTAAGTCTGGTGTATGCGGCTATGTTCTCGCACTGGCACAACAGTTGTGATGTGTTTAATGCCAGAGCTGAAAGGATGGCGTTAACGTAGCAAAAGCAGCAACTCAGAATAGCAGAACCTATATGTCAACAGTTTTATTTAATTATTCTCACTGTCAGCAAATGTTCAGCACTGCTGATTTAAGTACAAAACCACAATGCACAGGGCCTATGTAGTAGTGAAAAGCATTACGTGAGATTAGCAGCATACTCAACAGACTGCTTGAATGTCAGAAATCTAGTAGAAAAGACTGCACAGGTGTATCTATCACAATAATCTCACACTACTCATTCACATATATTGCAAAAACATGTAACGCATGATAACTGACACTCCTTGAACATAGAAAGCACACAAAGGCAAAAACAGCAATAACAAGATACATCAGACGCATATCAAACTTGATTGTTCCCTCAGGAGAATTTCTGCCAGCACTCATCAGAAAGGATATGTTCATACATGCTCCTCCACTGTTCGAAAAGCCTTAATACAGCAACATGTACAGTCTGTCAGCTGTTGGGAGTCCATTAAAAGGCTCAGAAAAGGCCCACTCCTCTTGAAAAGCCGAGGATTCCTTTCTAGTACCTCTCCTGAGGATGAGTGGAGAGGAGTTTCAGAGATGAAGCCGCTTGTGATGAGAGACTAATGGCAGCAGGATGGCGATGGAGGTGTGAGCATGTAGGGGGGGATGATAGTTCCAGCAGAGAACACCCAGAAGGGTTCTGTTTCCCCCATCAGACAGATGCCTCTGCCTACACCTCAGGGCTTGCTGTACCATGGAGCAGCCAGAGGTTCCAGAAACAACCAAAGCTGTAATTATTATTTTATGGTTGGCAATTTTATATCTATCACAGCATGTTTAAAAGTTCTTCTGCTAAATTAAGAGCAGGCATGTCCAGAGCAGAATTCAGCCGGAGCCTAAAGAGTTAAGATATTTCCCTCCTTCCTGTCTTCTCTGCAGGGCAAAGAAGGTGAAAGAAAAGAGAGAATGTGAAGCTACTGAAGTCCAATAAAAGCCTCATTATTTTAATCTGCTGGAATGACTTTTTACTTTAGTTGCCAGAGTCTTTCTTGCATTTGGAAAGAGAAGAATAAAATCTAATTGAGCTTTCATCTGCCTTTTTTCTGTGTGGAATTGGGGATGAATTCCCAAGGACTGAACACATGAAACATCTGCAATCAAACAGCAGTGACTTCCTGTGGACACTGCATGTGTTAAAATGCTGCTGTCCTCCACCTCCCACTCTTTTCAACCTTCATCGCCAGCAGAGGGGTGGGGCGGCAACTTCACTACAAAACTTCATTAGCAGTTACCACACTGTGCTGATTCATCTCCACTGAGACCAACACTATGTGAGGGACACTTCTGATTAATACTTCAATGAATATTGGAGACTAAGTTTCAACCACAATCACAGTAAGCAAAATTCATTACATTCTAAATTTTAAATGGCAGTCAAGGAAGCTTGGCTAATATTTTGAAGTTCTGCAAGCTAGTTGGTCATGGCTTTAGGTTTGCATACAGCTAGACCTTAGTTTAAGGGCCTAAAGTCTGGTCTGGGTGGCTTCATCCAACTTAGAGAAAAGCATTTTTTCCTCATTCTTTCTGTGGCATCTAGCCATGTAGATAGGATTGGAATTAATACATCACATTTTTAAATATGAGATTTTGTCTTCAGTCCAATGCATTATCATTTTTCACTTATCCTGTGCAGGGATGAAGTAGGGGGGTGGTTGTTGGGTGGAGGTCTGGAGCCTGGCCCTGTTCCAACATTCACACTTACTAGTTAGAGTTTCCAATTAACATAACCTGCACATTTTTGAATTGTGAGAGGACACAGCAGTAACAGAAAGAAACCCACACAGAAACAGGGAGAACATGCAAACTTCACATGCAGGGCCATAGGATGCATGTAGTTAGTCACAATCCTCTTTTCCATGACATTGTAGAGTAGTTGGTTCTAAAAAGTTGCTTACTCAACAACAGAACTAAGTAAAGTAAACTTTACACCATGCTCGGTGTCAAAATGTCTACACAAAGAAAAAATCAATACATTTTTGCAGACTCTGTCCATTCTGAAATAACAAGTAGGCCTACTGACGTTTGTCAGTGAACTGATAAAAGAAAATATCCCTGTACTAATGGTATTTAAAATCTTGACTTGACTTGACTTTGGTCTAGTGAGACTGTCATGGTTTGGGATTTTAGTTTAGTGATTTTCTGTTTTATGTTAATAGAGTTCTTCCTCATGTGTCTTTCTTAACTTCACTTCCTGTCTTTGTGTATTTTCCCGCTTGTGTGATTGTCTTCCCCACCTTGATTAGTTTCACCTGTGTCTAGTTATCCTCTGCTCACTTGCATTTAATCCATATGCTCCCCTTGTCTGTTTTCAGTTTGTGTACAGTGTACACTCCAGCATCATTATTACCAGTTTTCCTTGTGTTTTTTGAACTATTCTTCCGCATACTTCGACTTGGCCATTTGGATTCTTGCCTGATCAGATTGATTTGTCTATATTTGGACTACTTCACTGTTTGGACCTCTGCCTGCCTCACCATGCTGTAAGCCTTCTGTAAACCATAAATTGCACCCGCTCTGCCTCTGAGTCTGCATTTGGGTTATATCCCTTGTGTTTGCAATTTGCAATACTAGTGTCTTTGTTGATTCCAGCCTTTCAGAGCTTCCTAGTTCTGTTCAACCTTTTAATTGACTACAACACTGTCTAAAATGTCTTAATGTTGCTAAAAGATGGGTTGCATCCATCCCACTTTAAATAATTTCCCTCTGTATATTTCCCATAAATTCTAACTAATTAGCAACTTTGCAAGCTGTTAAATGTAAATGCTCCGTACTTGTATAGCGCCTTTCTAGTCTTTTCAACCACTCAAAGTGCTTTTACACTACATCTGCATTCACCAGTCAAACACATTCATACACTGAGCCTAAGTGCTCAAACGGAAACTAACATTCACACACATTCATACACTGGCGGAACAGCCGCCAGGGGCAAATCGGGGTTCAGTATCTTTCCCAAGGACACTTTGACACGCAACCAGGGGGGCCAGGGATTGAACTGCCGACCTTCCGATTAACGGCCAACCCGCTTTACCTCCTGAGCCACAGCCGCCCCATAAGTGATCAAAGTTAAGTGATCAAAATGATGTAATGTTATGAAAGGCAATATCAAAGCTGTGAAAAAATTATATGCTTGTGTAAAACTCTAGAAGACACCACTAGAGATGCAATTAGTCTCTGACAATAGTCAGTCAAAGTGAGTCATCAACAGAGCTGTATGGTGGACAAGAAGTGATATGGAGACTGTGATCAAATACCTTCCACTTACTGGACATGAGGTTTGACTTAAAGGGATAGTTCAGCCAAAATACAAAATAGCATATTTCCCACCCTCACCGTCTAGTGATAGTAGTCCCAGTTGACAGTGTATTCTGTGGATTATCCAGAGTAACACTGTTTCTGAAAATATGTTGCTGGGTTTTTTTAATGTCATTTGTCAATTTACAGCAGCTCTTCCCTCAATCAATCATACCTCTCTGCATTGAGTATTGGGTTTGTTGTGTAGGTAGAGGAACTAACCCCATTAATGAAAGCAGGTTAAACAAACTGAGTGTAAACCTGAACTCTGGGTTGACGAACTCTGAGCTGTCAAACTCCGAGTTTTTGGTTTCAGAAAGGCCGGTCAGAATAAATTCAGTCAAATCTGAGTATGTTGAGCCAGATGGAAGCGGGTGCGTGGGGAAGAAAAAAAGCCATCATCAATGGAGCGCCGATACTACGATTCACCAAGGAAACGGGTAAATAAAGGCAGAGTGGAGGAAGGATCGGTACGTTAACAATATTACATTTTATACAGTGTTGCTAATTCATCATTTACCAGACTGGAATTTCCTTAATGAATGATAAAGTGCTGGGATTCTCCTATAGCCTGTTATTCATTTTAAATAGCTACAGGCCTGTTTATTCAGCTGTAACCTGATGGGACTAAATGCTGGTGGCAATAACTGAAGATGAAAATAT